TATATATATATATATTATAGCAATATATATTATATTATCTGGAGGAGCGAAGCACGCTGGTATAATCAAATATATCATACAAAAAAAAGGACAAAAACAACAATAACAAACTATCAAAAAAGAAAAAAAATGTGAAAATATAAGGTATAAGAACAAAAAGGGGAAATAATAATAGTAATAATAGTAATAATCGTAATAATAATATTAATAATAATGTTGATTCGTGAAAAGGGATCACCTTAACAACTAAGAAAATCGCGAGCGTCGCTGATCGGTCGCGAGATCGATCGGTCGTCGATCATGCACAAATATGCGATATATAACTATATACGTACACACGCGTGTACGTGTACCGCGAACGGACACCTCGCCGACATTCAGCGTCGCTCGGCGCGATCTAGACGATCCACTTTTGGCCGGATCGTCGGTACAAACGGTAAGAAAAAAAAAAGAAAAGAAAAGAAAAATAATAAATGTGTTCTCGTACAGCTTACATAAACGCACACGTAGTAAAGGTAAAACGGTTCTCGTACAAAAATAAAGGAACAAAATCTAAAGCCAACAGAAAATACATCTCGATTACAATAATAATATTATCAATATTAATAATAGTAATAATTAATAATAATAATGGTAATAAAAAAAAGATGTAGTATAAAGGAAACAACGATAGCAGTTGTAAAAGGTACCTATATACAGATATACATATATAGGCGCACAGTGTCTCGCTGTATGTCTCGCTTCCCACGCATCCTCCTACTCACTCGCACCGCCATTTGCTCCGTAGCTCTGTCTCCCTCTCTCTCTTTCGCTGTCTCGCGCTACCCCGTCACTCGCGCGTCGCTCCGCTGTCCGCGTATTGTCTCTCTCGTTCTCGCACACGGTCCGAGTCGCAACAACAAGTGTACACGCGCGTAAAAAAAGTATCTGAAAACGCGACGACACGCGCGGAAAAGGACAACGCGCGGCCGCGTGTGTGAGCCGTCGACGAACGGAACGGAAGAAAACGGGAACGAAAGGGTGAAACGAAAATCGAGACGGTTACGCGATCGGGTCGGGAAACAAGGGATCCTCCGTGCACCGCGAAGAATCGGCAAATCTCCCGGGAAATTTCGTTTCTCCGCTTTTCCAGATACCAAGCGCGCTGTGGTGCCCTGTCGATCGGAAAGATTCACGCGATTCGCACCCTCTTTCTCACCACTCGCAACCACGCACTCGCACGTATATACACTCGCGCACACGCGCATACGCGCGCGCGCGCACACACACACACACACACACACACACACACACACACACACTCTCGCTTTCGCGCAACTTCTTTTTCTCTCTTTTCACGTTTTCTCGTTTACTCTCCTGGCTCTTCGCCGCTCGTTTCATCCCTCTCTCGCTCTCTTGCTACGTACGAAACGATGAAGACTGGGGCCTGGGGTGGGGCTTCGGAGAAGGGGCATTTCGTAACAGTTACATTTAGGATGCACTTACACGAGTAACATAGTTGCTTGTTTTTTTTGGTTTTTCTTTACCGTTTCGACACCGAGAGTGTGACTTGGGTGGGGTACAAAAAGGTTTCCTTCCTCGTATCTCTCGTTCTCGTAGATCTCTTCGTCCCTGCCCGGGAGTCGCGGCGCGTCCTCCCGGTCCTGCAGCCGAGGGCTGATCCCCGTCCATTTCCGGTCCACGACGACGTCGAAACGACGTTATCGCGCCGGCGATTCGTCTCGCTTTCGTATATCTTCTCGCGTCGTCGGTTGCGCCATTTTCTCGGCCCCGGCGTCGACCGGAAGCAGACGGGGCCGGCCCTCTTCGCCACGCTGTAATCGAGGTACAGCCCTACGCGGTATGTGTGTGTATATATAATATATATATAATATATATAATATATAATTATATGTATATAGTTTACATTCAGCAAGTAGTTAAAGTATTGAAAAATATATATGTAATTAATTACAAATCTAATGATCATCCTCTTGTTAATTCATTACTTGGTAGAATAATCGATAGGTTATTTTTTTTTTGGGTCTTTCTTTGTGTTTCTCCGTGTGTCGTGTGCGCGTGTGTGTCAGTGTAGGTGTGTCTCCGTCTGTCTGTCTGTCTGCGCGCGTATGTGCGTGTGCGTGTGTAGCTTCGAGTGTGTCCGATACACAAAACGCATATTAATATTGTTCTCTTCCATTCAGCTTCGTTTTGCTTTTCTCTTTGCTGTTTTAGCATGAAACGGCTTTCTCTTTTCAACTGTGCCTGGAGATCGTACCACGTTTGCTCACTTCCGCTCTGACACGCGCGATCAAGCCGTCGTTCTTCCGCTCCTTTTCTCTCTCTCTTTCTATGCCTGTTATCGCCCTCTCTTTATCCCATTCTGCCTCCATTTTTTCCCCTTTTTTCCCCACTTTTTCCCTTTTCCTCCGCTTCTGTCATCGAGTGTTCGCGAAGGAAGGAAAGCGAGAACGAATCGATGACGCGTGTCCTCCTCCATTTTCTCCTGTCCCTGATTTTCCCTTTGATTACGCGTGTCAGAGCTGCACGCAATTACCCTCTTCCTCTCCCTCTCTTCGCTCACTGTCGTCGCTCGTTCTTCCATCGCTTCTCTCCTCTATAAATGTATGAATATATATTATATCTAATATTGCAGTGTTCGGTTATCGCTATGACATTAGTTACGTTACCACGATTACTTGTTTCTCCATTTACGGTTAAAAAGACAATATCGATCGCTATAGTTTATAGACACATGATACTTTAAAGAGACAGATTTACCGTTTGTTACGTCGTCACGTTACTTCGTGTTATTAATTATTAGTTACTTTTTTTATTCTTTTTCGTTTACTTCTTGTGTGTCGTGTACCCGAGTTACGTTCGAACGGTTATTCAGCTGTGTCCGTGTACGTTTCCGTCCTGTGTACGTGTACGTGTATACGTGTGCCCGTGTATGTACGTGTGTTTAACCTTAACCACTCGTCGTCGTTTTTTTTTTTTTCTTTTGTTAACGAATACATCCATTACAGATTATGGAAAACTATGCGTAATTTTTTTTTTCTTTCCTGGCTTACAAAGTGTTTCGTTACAATCGTATTGTAATCGTATAATACTATATGTTTATCTTTTGTGTATCTCAATGTATGCTCTATATCAATAATCCCGTTTCCATCGCTCCACCTCCACCTCCATCGCTGAACCGTCTCTCTGACTCGCGTCGCAGCGCCATCTACTTCCGCCTCGCGCGTCCACGCGTCCGCCATTACGGCTCGTTCGCGCAATCCCACGCCGATCCATCCTTTTTTTTTTCCCGTTTTTTGGTTTTGCTAGAAGAGTATACATCGTGTATGTGTGTTTGATTCTTCGCTGAGCTGAGCCTCTCGTCTCAAGCCGAGATCCACATTTGATTCGCAACTTATTGCAACGCTTGCTCGCCGACTTGCCTCCTTTCTCTCTCATCCCTCTCGCCGAGCTTCTTGCACCCGTGTTCGATCGTGGAAGATCGCGAGATGCCTCGAGACGCCCGAAGATCGATGGCTAAAGCGCGACGGAATCGTTACTATCCCTATTCCTCTCTCTTCCTCTCTCTTCCTCTCTCTCTCTCTCTCTCTCTCTCTCTCTCTTTCTCCCGCTCTCTGTCTCTCGAGGGATCTCGTTGCAGTCGAATCGCGAGGATTTCTCGCTGCTCTCGTCGCGAACCCGTTCGTTCGATTACAAAGATTAGAAAAATAATCGGCGCGAGGAGCTCTTTGCGGCGAATCTACGGTGTCCCGAGGCCGGATCGCGATCCATCGATCGTTGTTCCGTGTTGCTGCTCCGTTCTCGGAAAACCGGTCGAAGAACTAGCTTGGTTCCAGCCAGGTCGAACGACGATGACATCCGGTATTCCGTCACGAACCAAACCTCGAAAGTCGCGATTACCTCCTTCCCTCGACTCGCTCTTACAATCCATTTCTCTCGCTCGTTCTCTCTCTCTCCCTCTCTCTCTCTCTCTCTCTCTCTTTAACAATAGCAGGTACTAGCATAGCTACCACAGTCGTACGTATCGTTAATAGTTACAATTAAGTTTAGATATTACTAAAGGGTACTGTTCTCCCGCCTTGTCCCCTCTCGCCTCTGTTCCCCGCGCTTTCACACCCCTCTTTACCCTTATTAGTTCCGCGGTTAAAAACTTGTTTTAGCACCCCTCGCGTGGTCAGAGATCTGCCGACTCGCTCCGCCTCGAGATCGATCGAATTTTCCACGAAAAATTCCAAGCTCCTTGTCCTCGATGCGCGCGTACATCCTTCGTGTGTCGTACGTATGCGTGTGTGCAGATCCACCCGTCGCGTAGATCCTCCGAGCGACGCGCCAGCGACCGGGAAAACAATCGCGATTTCACTCTCGCACGAAATTCGCTCGTCCATCGAAGAACCCTTGGTCCTTGAAACGAAAATCTTTCCGAAGCTCCAGAGCTGTAGAGCACCGAGCGAACATCGATTCCGGTTCGGTTCGGTCGGTCGATCGAGCGGCCTCGGTCCGCGACGGAACGGCCGCAGTAGAGGAAGCTGCTGCTCGACGTCGATCATACAAAACTGGCTATATAAAAATCCGTACGAAAGAACGACGAAAGTCACGCCTAAAATTATACTACTTATACACTTACACGATACAAAGTCACGCTAAGGTTTCGAAACTAGTCTAAGAGAGGACGCGCCGGACCGAGATGATCCACCGACGCGAACCGATCTCCGCTCGGCTCGTTCGCGGCAAAAATTACAACGCGAGCGCGTCGACACTCTCTGGCCAGGCGTATTCCGTACGTTTGTCCCACGACGACAAGATTAAACACTTTTTTTTAATACTTTTAGCACCTAGTGCCCGGCCCGCGGCTCGCGGCACCTCCGCCATCGTTGCTGTCGCGACACTAGCGACGCTCGACGGACGAGGCCGACCGTGACCCGATCTAACCTCGCCATCAGACAAGGAGATATCGGGAATCGGCGCGCTAAACGCGCAGCCGATCTTTCGATGTGAAAATCGAGGTCTCGCGAACAACCACCGAACACTCTTCCATCTTCCTCGCGATTCACCTTGATGTCGTATGTTGCACGTTCTCGAGGTTTACAAGTGCCGCTGATTCATCCGTAACGGAACACTCCGACGAATTCTATCGGAGACAGAAGCGGACTGATAGAAATTCTCGGTTAAAATATTTCTCTGACACGGAATCGAAGACTAATCCTTTGCACTCGGCGTTATAATATCGATAGAATTTGTTTAGAACGAAGAGAGAAGATTGACTAGGAATTTTTACAATTTCGCTAAATGGAGACCGAGAGTCGCCTCCCGAGTGCAAAGGTTAACGTTCTACGAGACGACAGTCGAGACTTGTCTTCTCCACTTCGTTTCTATTCAACTCGTTTCACCAAGAGTGCGCACGTAAAATCATCTGTCCAAAAGCACCGTCATCGATCGATATTCGCTCAGAAAACGGTCCAAACGAGGATCAAAAATTTCGACACGGTTTAATTCCGAGAGCCCAGTCGAACGAGAATTCTATGGACTCGCGTGGAAGATGAAAATCGTCTCGTGACAGTTGGCGAAGACCTCGGAAGCGGATGGACTCGCATGCGCGTTCGAGGTCACGAGCACGGTCGCGTCGCGGCCGTCGAGGACAGTAACAGTGGCCTTTAATAACGTAATCACCTAATTAATCTCGCGAACGCGAACCGGCCGGTTGGCCGCTGCTTCGCATCCCCGCCACCGGCGCTGCTTTGTTTCCCTTTCGACGCGTCCTTTGTCCCCGATCTTCGAACACCGTCGACGCGGAGGCAACGACGGAAGTTCGAATGGCCGTTGGCCCGTTGCCTGAGGATCGATAGGGCAGAACGGAGATTCGAGGAGAGCCGGATGCTCGATAGCGCGGAATTAGGAAAGTTGGCGAACCGTCGCCGGTGTGTCGCGAAGTTAGACCACCGGAGGATGTTGTTCCGCTTTTGCTGGATCCGGCGACGCGTGGTGAACGCGAGGCGCGGTTTTTGGGGAGGAGGGATGAAAACGACGGGGACGTCGCGTCGAAAGGAAATCTCCGGGGAGATTAATCTCGGGACCGGAAGCGCACGGTTTCGCGGCGAGGCAGCGACGCAGCGCGGCCATGTTGTTGCTCGCGCGAACACGCCGCCATCCTTCTTCTCCGCTTTACTCCCTCCTCTTCCTTTTGCCTCGCTTTTTTCACTTTTTTTTCTCTCCTACGCTCTACTGCATTTATTATAAAAATAAAATGTAAAATCGTACCGAGGACGAGTTTTCCGAACGGTATGGAACCGCGAGCACCATCTGCGACTCGATCGAGAAAGAATCCCACGGCAGCCAGTGTTTTTCTTCGTCTTCTTACCACGATCCTGCGAGTACTATACTTTCGATTCCCGTTTCTTGCTCTCCTCTCTTCAAATTCCTCGGTCCTCTTCGTCTCTGGTGTTCTCGATCGTGGATTGGATCGTTCTTCGGGTCGTGTAGAACGAGAGGAATACACCGGGAAACGTGTATACGTGTATACGCGACTCAGCGTCCCCGGGTGTTCGTTCGTCGACGCTTCGACAGAGCGGCTACAGGTAGTCCCTACACCGTTTCGCGAGAACCCGCGAAGTGAGTGCATATTTTGAATATAATACATAGGCTCTACAGATATATTCAATATCAATTCTCCGACTATACCAGTGAAAAAATAAATTATTACACGTTGGTAATATCTGTGTGTACGTGTTGGTGAAGTCGTGCGCGATATTAAGTGTCCGCACACCCCGCCCTCCTGTGTCTTTCGCCTTGTCCGTGTGTATAATACCTGTGTGTACGTGTGTATGCGATCGCGGGTGTCACCACGCCACCAGCAGGCGGGGCGTTCCGTGTGTTCGCGTAGCAAATGTAGACGTATATATGCGTGTGTGTACATGTATGTACGTGGGGGTCGCCAGGTGAATGGGTGGGAGTGAGTGTGTCCGTTTGCGTGTGAATCTGGCCCGTGTGGAATTTTACGTACGCGTCGCGCACGTGTGTGTCTCTTGGCTCTTTCGCTGTCCCATGTGTAGGCGCATGGCGCATCGTTCGACCTTTATTCTCTCTCTCTCTCTCTCTCTCTTTCTCTCTCACTCTCTTTCTCTACCTCTCTTTCTCTGCCCCTCTCGAACCACGAACGAAATCACGAATTGGTCTCTGTGGCATAACAGAGTTCGCTTACGCGATACTCTTTTCCTCTCTCGCGACCGTCTGCCCGTCCGTCAGCCGCAAGATGGCCGACGCGGGTTAGAACGCGACACAGGGAGCAGCCATTCGTCGAACGGACGCGCAGCGCCATCGCAATCGGGTCCGTGGTGTCCGTGGTGTCCGTGTTGTTTCCGGTTACAGAATGTTAGGTACACGCGGCTCTCTGTACGTTAGTCGGTCGCAAAGTTCGCGTTCGCGAGTCCCGTCGCATCGAACAGTCCCTCCTCCTCTTCGTTCCTCCACCGCTACTCTCCTCTAAACGACTTGCACGCACGCTTCAGCACACAGGCGCACCGAACTTGAATCCCTCTCTACACGCTGCACGTAACCTCGCTCTCGCACACGCTCGTATTCTCTCTCATTCTCTCCCTAGCTCTCTCTCGCTTTCCCACTCTCTCTTCCTATCGCTCTATCTCTCTGTCTCGCGAATAGTCGGGTCGTCTTGATCCGCGTGCGCGTCGACCCGGTGTCTTCCTCGGTGCTGATTGCGTCCTCTCTGCCGAAGGTGTCTCTCTCCTCTTCTGTTCCCTGTCTCTCTGCCATCGTGCACGTTGTTCGCGCACAAACGACGACGGTGTGCCGATCGACTGGCTGTCCGCCGATCGACTAGCGAGAGAGGTACACCAACCACTGGGGTTCCCTCTCGACTGATCCGGATTCGTATCGAGCGAGAAAAGCGGGAGTGGATGAGCTCGTATCGATTCCTCGATGAAGGATCACGACAAACGACGACGACGACAACGACCACGCACGATGACCGATTCTTTAAGGGTTGACTATGCAGAGCTACCGTGGCGGCTTCCGGTTGGATGTCTCGTTCCGCCGGAGAGAGACAGAGTGGGAACTAGTGGGACTCTGGTCGCGCCAGACACTTGGTCTTCACTCGCGCGGGGTTTTAGTTGGCTACGAGGAGGTGCTGGTATTGGCTGGCTGGGTAAGGCGCCACGGAGCCGAGGCCAAAGTTGTTCAGGCCCTCTACGAGCGCTGTCTTGTCCTGTTGCTGTCCAGACCCGTTCACGTTGCTGTTCGTCACGGCGGAGCCGACTGGGCCGAGATTCCCGGCACTCTGCGAGTTCCCGTTGCTGCCTGCGGCGCTGCTGGTTCCGTTCACGCTGCCGCCGTAGAACTGATGGCCGGCGATCGTCGTTGGATCGAGGTAGGACGACGGGAAGTTCACGCCTGTGTACAGATCAGCGGAGAGGTAGCCGCCGTGGCTGGACGAGTCGAAGATGTTGCGATGAGAGAACTGGGGATGGTACGCGGCTGGCCCGTGCTGGAAGAAGTACGCGCTCGGATCCGTGTGTTGCTGCCCGGCCCCAGCCACTATGCTTCCCGGTGACAGGCTGCGACTGCGAGGGGAGCTCTGTGACACTGGCAGGCCACCAGCGGCCGCCTGCTGCTGCTGCTGCTGCTGTTGCTGCTGTTGCTGCTGCTGCTGCTGCTGTTGGTGCTGTTGATGATGATGGTGATGGTGAATCTGTTGCTGCATGGCACGCTGCTTGATGTAGTTCGAGAACTCGGTGGGGGACATTCTGAAACAACACGATGACGTGCGGTTCATCTGTCTGTTCGGCAATCTACTCACGGGTCTCGTGGACGGGATTACGGTTCCGATACTGGTCTACGGGCTCGGTGGTAAGATCGTACTTGGTACGGTAAACCGTGATTACATCGCGCGAGGCAAGTTGGGAAACTGGTCGAACGAAGATTACCCTTCATATCGATATCTCGGTCAGTCTCGTAAGAGGGAACATTTCGTAGTCGTAAACGTCAGTGGTTTGACTCGAGTTACTTTCATCGTTCATTTTGCATCGACGAAAGATACAAAGATATTGGTCCGAATTAATAGGAAACAGCCACGAGTACCAAGTACGTATACCACCGACAAGGGGGGACCAACGTGTACGGTTCTCTAACCACGGAAAGATTGCAGGAATGGTTCACCAACCTGTTCGTCCGTTTGCTGCTGGTCTTCAGTTTGGTGCTACCAAACTTGGTCTGCGCGAAGGTGGCGGTGGTGAAGGTGAGCGGCGCGGTGGTTCGCGGGATGAAAGCCGGAACAGGACTAGGCGAGCCCTTGAAGGAGCTGGTGATGGGCGTCGGCGATGGCGCCGATGAGGAACCGGACCCGTGGCCGCTCTGTTGATTGTTCGACGAGCCGTTGCTCGCGTTACTGCCCAGCGAGCTCGGGAACGGCGACGTGGACTTTGGACTAAGGCTCAGCCGGCCCAGGGACGAGCCTACGGTCTCGATAGGCCTGAAGCACTGGGCCTCGGGATTGAAAGTCTTGGTGACCTCTCGGTCGGCCGAACTCTCGTCGTGAGGGTCTCCAGTCTCGGAGTAGAGGATCTTCACCGCGTTCATCTCGCCGATACGATAGCTCACCTCTCCGGGGTCTACCCAGACGGCCAACTCGGCGGGAAGGTTCTCCAAGACGTCCTGAATGGGCACGCCGCTCTCTTTGGCGGCCCGCTCCAACACCGGGTCCACCGGATCGCCAGTCTTCAGACATCTGAACGCGGATCCTTTGAACGGCTTCTCCGGGTACCAGTGTCCCTTGAACTTGTCCTTGAGCGCCTTCTCGAGCTCTTCGCCGAAGATGTTCACCCGCCTGCGCGGCAGCTTGTTGTAGAGGTAGGATATCACGAAGTTGAGCGCCACCTGCACCTCGATGTGCATCTTGCCCTTTGCTGGGAGAATCCTCGGGCTGTTGCTGGTCCTTGCAGCCGCGGAATTGCTTCCCCAGCACGTCCGCACAATCGGCCGTCTTGCCGCCAACGCCTCGCGACTCCACGACGACGCGCCACTAGGCGACACGGGCGTCGACAGTGGGCGTGGAACTTTTGGGTCTGGTGTTGGTTGGTCGTTAGACGGTTCTCTCGGATTGGCGAGACTGTAACGTGAAACGGGAGATCGATCGTTAGAGATCGGTTGGTTCCTCTATATTTCTCGATTTTAAGCTTATCTTAAGGGATGTATCGGGTGTCAACGTTTAACCCGTTGCACTGGTATCCACTGGTGTCGTTAGTAAAGAAAATTTTCCAAGTGCAAAGTTAACGAAGTCGCGATAGCTCGAACGCGACGATGGTATTGGATCTCTAAAAACTGTCGACCAACGTGTCGTACTGGATCGCAATAATTTGAAACGCATTAACCAAATTTTGCCTATCTCCCTTGCGATTATTTCTCAGCTACCGCGATTCCCCTTTGCAATTTCTGGCCACGTTCGGAAGAATTTCAAGAGAGAAACGATCCGTAACGAGCCCTCGGCGAGAAAAAGCTGCGCGTAAAAATTCGCGAGTCACGCACAAAGGAGACCTCTCTATGGAGCGATCGAGTGGTTTTCAATGAGTGCAAAATCACATTAAAAGAGTGCCGGAGCGAGTATCTTCGAAAGGTGGTGGCTTTTACCCCGTCTGGGCCCGTGTTATCGGCTCCTTTTCACGATCGCGCATTGATACGGAACGCCGATTCCGGTTACTCGGCCCGCTCTCGCCCTCTCAACAGACTCCAACGAGAGCCAATCGTTCCCGACGTATTCGCATAATGCTCCTCCAGGCTTCCTGGCCACCGCGACAAAGCCCTCTTATCTGAATCCTCGCCCCTTCTTCCTCCATCTCCTCGGTAATTTCCAACTCGATTACGCGCCATGAGAATTTTAACGATCGCCCTGCTTAGATAACGTGGAAACGTCTTGCTCTCGGCTCTCTCAAGATACTTGGTGCTCCACTCTAGACAGCGAGGCTTTGGCAAATGGTAGACGATGGGGTTAGCTTAGATAGTCAAGATAGATAATAGATCTTAATTCTTAGTCTTACTCCACTATCGTTTGTCAGAATAACCTTCGGTAGGAATGCTAGGGTTTGAGACTGAAAGTATGGGAATACTTGGGCCTAGTTAGCCGATGATGGACAGTAAACAGCTGCCTAGGATCCATGACGAACGGTATAACGATATTTATGACTGTATCGAATGCAAGTGAAGAGCGAAAGGTGTCTGAGAGTTTAAAGAAATGCGTGATTTAGAAAGAGAGCACGAGTATGTAATAAGACAGAGTGCAAGGTATAAATGAGGATGCAAGAGCTGTCCTAAGGCAATTCTTTACGAAGTATGAAGGAGAGTCGATGTGCGAGTGTCAGTTGCACGATTACAGACCAGTTATTAGTCTAGTCTAAGTCTCTTTTCGATCGTAATAAATAATATACCGGAATAAACACCATCTCTTACTCCCTCTATTCGCAAATAAAAAGTATCCCAACACGTATATCGATTACTTTTCACCAATTTGGCACTCGAGAAACGAGCAAAACTTCACCTATCCTAACTTCTGTCGAACAGGCCATCAGCGGGTCCCCCAAAAGCTACCCCCGTTCGAAAGTTCCGTCTATTCACGTGTCTCTTGCCGAGAAAAATGCTTAACGGGAACAGAAGCACTCAGACGCCGTAGCTTGCTCGAGATCCTCATTTCCGGTCGAGCTATCGGCTAAAAGTCGGCGGAGAAACTCGGCGAAGACGAGGAGCAGCCGAACTGTCCTGAGTCCGATCTCAAACGCGTCCACTTTGTAACGCTCGAGCGCGTATCAAGAAGAATATTCAGCTGGTCGCGCGATTACCGTGAAACGAACGCCAATAAAACGGATTGCCCTTACTGCCGTGGCCGAGTGGCCATCTTCCACGGCGGCGGCGTACTCGTCGCAATTGCGGAAGTTGCTCTCTGAACCCGAACGACATCGAGAGCGAAAGCCTTTCCTTTGCTCCCGACCCTCTTTGTTCTCCTTTCCCCTCGGTCCAAGCCACTTCTTCCGTTTCTTTCCCCTGTTTCCACCCTTTGTGTCCATTCCGCTCTCTTTGTTTCCCGTTATACATAAGCTTTTGTCCTTTTCTCCACGCCCTCTCCCTCTTTTATCTCCGACATCGTCCGCAGACGCTCGTATTCCCTCCTCGAGGATCGCTGGACGACCATCCAGGCTCTTCTGACCCGTCCTTCGAGTCCGTCTCGAATAGGAACTCGATTCCGACACGGTGCCGTTCCCTCTTTCTGGACGTTCCAGAGGAAAAGAGCACAGGAAGACGCAACGAGTTTCCAAGGAGTTCGCCGGACCGGCGGCCATTTTGTAACGCTGCGCGAGAGAACGTTCGCGAGGTTGCTACTGCTCTCTAGTGTTCTTCCAGGTCTTCCTGCTTCTTTTTAACTAAATTTTTGCCTCGCTTTTAAGTCTCGTCCCTCGTAACGGCATTAGCCGCGTATAACACTGGGCTACCTGGCCGAAACTCGCAGGTGGACAACGTGCCACCGTGGGTATTTTTCAATTACGAATACGGGACATCCTCGTGGCTGGCGAGAGGCACATTTGCGTCCCATGCTTGCGGTCTTGGCACGAAAAAATACGCGGTTAACCTGGAAATTTTATCGCGGGACAAATGACCTGGTGATGTTCGAATTTTCTGCCGGAAGTCGAGAAAGATCTCGTTGCTTTAGAGGAACGACGAGTTTTTCGGTTCTCGTCTTGGCAATTTATATTTTCCCTTGGATATACGCACCAAGCAGCTCCCTTTGTTTGAAATAGTTTACTCGAGTGAAATTAATAGACGCGTGACTCAAGAAGAATAGGAAGCGTGCATGTATATACAAATTCCAAGTATGCATTATGTTCCATAGAGGATTAATAGCGCGTGGATCAGTATGCAGACGAATCAAAGTTGAATAGGAAGTGAATGAATTGAGCACATACACTTCATTCTCGGATGGCATTCACGTTACAATTTAGGGTTTGTGCAACCTTTACACACGACTGCTTGCACAAATTAGCCGCGGCTATTTATACGATTCGTTCACAATGCACTCGACGGTATTTATTTCCGTTCTCATACACATTCCCCTTAATCTTCGTCGATGTCTTCCTCGCCAAAATTAATCAAATAATCTCATCACAGCCTATCAGAGCACTTAAAAAACAATAGGACCAGAATAGAGCATTTACGCCATCTGTACAGATTTTATCAGAATTAATCGAGTGATCTCGTCGTAGTCTATGAAACCACGCCAGGAAGGAAGGCGCAGAAATACGAAATATAACGCGAAGAAGAGAGCAATAAGTAATACACCGAACCACCAAACTATTTCTCCTCGGCTCCTTTCATCCCCATCGAGCTTCCACCTCGACTCCCGACAAAATTACCAAAACCATTCCACCGAGTAGCCCCGAGTCTCGTTCCTCATACCGCGTATCTTTCGAAACGCGGCAGAACTCATTCCTCAAGAGCCGTCGATACTTGCCAAGAAACGGAAGTGGAGGCTGAAACCGCCTCTACACCCACTTTCCCACCCCTCTCACCGGCAACCCCCGGCGAGTCACCGTCCGAAGGGAAAATTTTTCGTGGCTCCCTTTCGCGTCGGATATTTTCTCCTTGCTGGGGATGACGAGGGGTGGTCGGGACAGGGGTGCAGGCGATTAACGCGGACCCGATAATTATCGCGCAGGCAGCATCGCGTAGGACCAAGTTCGTCTCGAGCGCTTTACAACGTGGTCTGAGTCATCTATTAAACAACTGCAGCCTGGCTAACTGCTAATTAAGTGGCAAGACTCTCGTTCCACCCTCTGGGTGGAATTAAAAACGAATAGGGGCGACGAGGATGCGGCTTTGGGGTTGAATAGACTTCGGGATCTCTTTGGTCTTTGTGTCATTGGAAATACAGGGTGACTCGATGACCAAGGTCCTACGTGGTATATTATACTACCCTGCAGCATTGGACATTGATCGCATCGAATCCTCCCGAGACATTTTCTGGGAGTAACGCGAGAGATTTTGCAGTGATTCTCCCGGTGCTCGGGGTTTGGCGAAACGAAGAAAGGAGAAGGGTTGACAGCCTCTGCGAGCGGGTTCTCCGGTGGTGGTAAATGGTTTCTGAGAAGAGTCGATGTAAAAAGGCAGGCACCGCGCGGCTGGATGGAATGGAACTGGGCTAGATCCAAAGTAGGTTCGAACTAGGCCTGATGCAGACACGCGGGCTGAGAGCGAGTTGAAAATAAGATCGAAGTAGGCTTGAAGTTGGCTGAAAGCAGGCCCAAAGAGGACTCGAAGTGGGTCGTGTCGATGCGAGCCGAAAGGAAGGCCGAAGTGGGCCAAAAGTAGGCTCCAAGTAGGCCTGATGCTAATGATAGTTCCGAAAGTGTGTCTAAAAATTTGGGGCGAGATTTCAATTGCATTTTTCGCCGCGCGAGAGTCCTCGTCGAACTTGGGAATAAGTACTTAATTAGGCAGTCTTCGATCTACCCTTTTGCAGACACGAATGTTGTCACGAATTTTGACAGTTTGCTTGTCGATACCTCTCATCTGTATCCATCACTGCGCTCATACTCTCTGCAATTTTATGTCAACAAATGTGTCCATCTGACTCTTCAAATCTAGCAAATAGGTAATCTGTCGATTACCCTATGACAGAATTATCATAGGAAACCGTGCTAGAGCACATGCTCTGGTACCCAACCGAGAACTTCAACGTGGAATCAAAAATGGCACTGCAGAGCTGTTAATAATCGCAACGTGTAAATAGAATAATTTTCCCGTCCGTGCCAACTTCATCCACAGCCATGGAAGAAAGCAGTCCAAATAAACCGAACGTTCGTTACTCCTGCGACTTCAGAGAGTCGGAAATAGCCCAAGACAAACTTCCTACTTCGCGAGCAAACGCAGGTCCCCTGAATTTCGCGCAAAAGCCCGTGGCCCGACTTCACGGGGGTACAATTACGGCGCTGGAGCCGAAAAAGAGCATCCCCCGTGAGTCACCGCGACATCCACGCAACCCTATCACCGCGGTCCCCCATCGAGCCGTCAGCCAACCGACTGCGGAGGCCGCGGCGAAGGGTGACGCGATTCAAAGGACAGCCTTTT